CCCCAGCGCTACGTTGTCCACTACAAATCCCACTTGACCAGACCCGGGTTCGAACCAGGGCCGCCGCGGTGAGAAGCCAACGACTAACCGCTTGAGCTATGGCGCTGCCTTTGTACGGTAGATAGTCCCACCGCAAGTTCTACACAGGACAACACAAAGAAAGCGAAATGCTGACATATCCATGCCCCGAGTGGAATTAGAATGTACTATCGCAGTATTTCGGCGATCGAAGACATATGTGTGGCTTTCCACACCAAATTACCATTCAAGGGTTGTATTTGAGGTTCTCACATCGTTGACTGTGAAGAGTTTCGGTGGATCTCACGGCGTTGCTTCCCAGAAAACTCCTTATGGCATAAAGGGTTTCGCATTTAATTTAATTCGCTATAACAAGAATTAAGACTAAGTTAATGAATGGCCACCCCTTGCTCAAGCGGTTAGTCGCTAGCTTCCCACCACGGCGGCCCGGGTTCGATCTCGCGCCTGGTCAAGTGGGATTTGTAGTGGACAACGTAGCACTGGGGCAGGTTTTCTCCGAGTACTTCGGTTTCCCCTGCCAATCTTCATTCCACCAATTGCTCCANAGAAGCATAATAATAATAATAATAATAATAATAATAATAATAATAATAAAACTTTGTTAGAAAGTGTCATTAACGAAGATAAGAGCGCCTCCTTTCCTTTAATATCAGTTTTCAGGAAATGATTCTGTTTTTACCGACAGGCGCAGCTGCTCTGATGGAACGGAAAAGAGTTGAATGCCTGTCCTCAATCTGTGTGTGGGACGAGACGATAATAAAAACTGTGAAACTGCTGTACTGCCCACGTTCATGTAGCAGCTTGCAGTGTTTGAGGTATGCCTTGCGATCTGCTCGCAGGGTAAAGGACATCATCTCCCGATCATTGTCGTCGTCCTGTGGATGCCGTTCGGGTGTGGTATGCCTTCGCGTCAGTGGCGTGCAGTGCATCTTGTTACTTGACTGCAACATTGAGCTTCCCACAAGAAGAGAATCTCTAATTCATTAGGGATGAGTCCTTCTTGAGAAGCCACCATTTACTCAAGAATTCACCAATATTTTATGGAACCCGAAGGTTCATTGCCATGTTCATAAGAGCCGTCCACTGGACCCTATCCTGAGCAGATCAATCCAGTCCATACCACCCCATTCTATTTCTGTAAGATTAGTTTTAATATTATCTTCCCGCCTACTTCTGTATCTTCCTGGTAGCAAGTTAATGTATGAAACTAATTTATTTGACGACTTAATTCTGATTATACAGCATAAAGGAAGCCTCTATGGACTACTTTAGGGCACCAGACATACAGAAGTTGAGGAAAATGGGAGAAATATTCAGAATATCCCGACCCTGTACCTCAAGAAAAAAATCACGAGTACGCAGTAAGAGAGAGAACCTAAGGAGTTCTGAAGAACAGTAGCGGGTATGATTTGCATTCAAATAGTACTCAGTTTGATTCTCGAAATGGCCATCTGCGATGTCAGGCCTTCAAGGCCAGCTTCGTGGTAGTATATAGAAATAAACCTCTGTGGGTTCCTTTCAGATCTTTTGAAGGTCTCGGTGCATGACAGTTATCTCTCCGTATTCCGTGCTGAGTAGCCTTTGCAACTGATATAGCTTCATTAAATCCGCTACGCAGTAGAAACAGAATATGCATGCCTGTAATGCCAATGTGGCCGTGTTCTGTTCTAGAAGAAGTGTTCGCCTTCGTGTCGCCTCTAAATAATGTAAGCTTATTGAATTTAATATTTACAGTTAATTTCGTTTCTTTCCGTAAAATAGATTCTTTGCAGTTTGGGGGTTCGTATTGCAGTATATCTTAATGGTTATTGGTGAACAGTTGAATTCAAATTTAATTGATTTTAGTCAGTTTACAGTAAAATTTTTTACAGGATTACTAGGTTTTTGAGAGGAGAATAAATCCTTCTTTACAGCGAGTTTGCTGGATTCTGGTTTCTGGTTCGAGTTACGAAGTAGCATGTATACCTTCATACACCCGTAAAGATGTCATGGTGACCTGCCCTGCTCTTCTAAGATCAAGATTAAAGATACGTAACCCCACTTGTTGCTTATGTGATCTTGTATCAGATGCTTACGGCTGTTCGCAATTTTAAACGTTAGAGACGTTAAATGGCTCTTACCGGAACTGAAACTCTCGGATGAATTGTTAGCTGTACGTATTTGGGAAGTTGCACGTTCAGTTCATGGCCTGAGATTACGTATACTGACCGAGGTTTTTCGTGATCTTTCGTTAGTTTCTACATGCAGATGTTAGGACACTACCTTGAAATAGGTTAGGGACGTTCTCCTTCACGTTCTCTCCAGAGCATTGTTCGACGTCCTGCAACGGAAGCAAAAGCGAAAGAATCGTCAGATATAAGAACCAAACTGCCATGGAAGTTGTATAAAATATAGATGTTCGGAATATTTGGCTTTCAGTATTTCATGTCAGTTTTTTTTTCTGTGGAGCTACAGCCCCAATTTGGGCCTAGGCCTACCTCCATGAAACTCTCCGTTTCACTTCGGTTTACTAGATCTTACACATTCGGTAGGACTCCTTGGGCGAGTGATCAGCTCGTCGCAAGGCCTCTACCTGTACACAAACACAGAAAAACGCACACAAACATCCATGCCCTGAGTGGGATTCGAACCCACGATCCCGGCTTCCGAGCGAGCGAAGACGGTGCATGCCTTAGACCGCTCGGCTACCGTGACCGTTCATTTCATGTCAGTTGCTTAGTTTTATTATTGTCTTGTTATTTACGCGTAGCTGTTCGTATTGATCTCTTCGCTTCAAATTTTCCTTTAAAAATGTGAGAGAGGGATCAATTTGGCTAAGGTACGAAACAATGGCAACGTGTCACTACTGCAAGACTGCAAGAGATATGTAAGCAATATACTTATTATTATCATTCGTGTATAAACTTCGTTGGTGCACCCCCCACCTGAAGAAAGAGGGTAGGAATGTTCAATTAACATTCACAGTTTGGTTGCACGCCCCTGAGTGGAGCTAATCAGAAGGAGTGCTTTGATCCCTTGGCATTGGCCGCCCGGCTTTGGGATGCTGTGCTGTAGCTTAGAAGACGAAGGAAAGATGCTAGCTTGCTTGCTAGCTTGCTTGTAATGTAATTGTGGGCAGCAGCAAGGCTCGGCCTGTGATGACCTTGTGGAAGATCGTTTGGTCGGACTCTTCTCGGCCCCTGCCTGCTTGGCAAGGCGTCATTCTGAACTGCCTAGTTCTGTTTCGAGACTTGATGTAGCTAAAACGAATTTTAAGTTGTGAAATTCCTTACACTGGTTCCGGGTCTAGTCATTGGAGTAACAGAGATCACAGTTTTGTGGACGCACATGCATACTTCTGTATATCCGAGGGATACCCTCGCGATGAATATATTTCATGTTAACTGTGTTCTTGGGTTGCTACACTGTGTGGATGTGGTCGATGTTACCAACGTTTAGGTCTTGCATCCTGCCTCCATCTTCAGGGTCGAAGTGTATATACGTCTTGTTTTGAAAAGGATTGGGGAAGGGGAAGATGGAGCTGGGATTGGTGCCCCCGTTTGTGTCACTCAGGAATGTGGACCGGGAATGTTGTGCAGACGGCTCTTTTAAGGGCCTAGGAATACTTAACAAATCCCGCTCGGCAGCTGATGTTTTGGAGCGGTCACTCATCGAAGTGTTCACAAGGCCTGTTCCTGGTGAGCAGTTGGGCTGGTGTTCATTGTTTACTAATCATTCGACGCTATGAATCGAAGCAGTCTTAACTAATACATTAAATAAAGTGGAATTTAACAGTTTAAAATGGTAGCATTTATAATGCACTAAAACAGTTCACTAACGAGGACTGACAATTAAGATCTCATGAAGTCCATTTTCCTACCTCCCAGTCCTCAAATCAACAAATCTTATATTTTGATATCATATTTAGGTAATTTAAGTTCGTAATCCAACAATAAAATGCAGTTTAGCTGATGGATTAGCGTTGTGGACTTGAGCGCAGATCATACACTCGAATCCCAGTTGAGTCAGAATTGTTGGTGCTTGAATTCCAAATATTTTTAAAATTGTTATGGTAGTTGGTGGTGGTGGTGGTGGTGGTGATAGTAGTAGTAGTAGTAGTAGTAGGAGTATAGTAGTAGCAGCAGCAATAATTAATATTTTCTGTGAGGGAAGAACTTAATCTTTAGTAGAGATTTTGTTTACTTTCAAATTATAGCGGCAAGTCTTATTTTCTTTGAGGAAGACATTTTTCTTTAGTGCAGATTATGTTAGCGTTAAGGTTGTCGGACTAACATATAATTTTCGTACCATCGTCGCGTTTTCATTTGTTGATTATACATAGTATTCGTACAGAATTTTGATAAATTTTTGTTCATCTTGAGATAGAATTTTACACGTTCCGGTTATTCATTAGTTGTCGCCATTGAACTTAAAGCTAAATCTACTTTTAATACAGCCGCAATTGTTTTACGTTCTCTAGTGAAAGGTGCTTTAGTAGAAGTTGTGTATTTTTCGAAGATGTGTTACCACACATTAATATGGGACTCTGGATTAAATAGCAATAATGACACATCCCACAGGTTTGTACACCCAGCATATTATTATTACTCGTAGGAAATTAAAGAAGTAAGGTGTTTGAGATCCTCCAGTGCATGACATTCATTCGAGACTTATGAAGATCGGTTAGTTTACACGTCCACGCACTTACACAAGCGCGCGCTCGCACGCACGCCGACAGAGCGGTAAGTTCGTAAGCCTACATTTCCGTAATGAAGGAAGGTTGGTTGAAACAAATACCACATGCAAGCGCCAAATTTAAATAAAGTTTTATCGAAAGTTTCCCATGAAGTAGAATTTGACGTTTTGACTGATGAAAGCAAGAGTGGTTTTAACCTTCACTGATTAGGCAGGTGAGGACGACTCTAGTGAAGTTTTAGCTGCATGAAGGTTGCTGGCTTGGTTCAGTCGACTGTTGGCTGGCTTGTCCGAGTGCAGGCGACAGGTAGTCAGGCAGTGCTGGTTAGAGCGAACACAGCTTTCACCAGCTTGCTCAAGCTGTCCAGATTTTCTGCAGCAGGTTCTAAGTTGAACTGCTGTCTACGGAGTTTACAGCTGCTTAGTTGTCAGAAATATAAAACAGTTACCTTTGAGTTGTAGGAGAGGCAACGCTATTACATTGTGATGTGAAAGGTGATGTGTGGAGTGGATGGGAGCTACCCTTCAAGAATAGCGACAGTTGATTTGTGTTCGTATAAGTAGCATTCAACTCGTGCGACGTAGTTCAAGTTATGCTATTTTGAGGCAGAGTAACGAGTTCATAATTAAATGTATCTCCAGATGTGCCATCATACACACAAGTGGTACTGAGTGTATATAATTTGTAGGTCGTAATGATAGTAATGATAATGATTGTGTCGACCGTAATTCGCAGTGGAAGTGAGTTAAATTATTTTGAAGTTTGTTGGCAGAAGAAATGTGTCGATTTACTCGTACTGTCGTCACACGTTGTGTTAAAGTTGGCTGCTGCCGGTCTGGTTGACTTAGCCGGCTGAGACAGCGATGCAAGTGACCGCCCGAGGGTTCCACTGTCGCCCCAGCATTAGATGGTAATGGCCTCAAGATGCGGGCTTCCAAGGATATTCACCCTTCCTGCCATCGCCCTTACTGCAGCATCTTGGAGCTGTGTGTTTTTCACTCTCCGTGTTTCTTATTGATGATGTATATGTCTGAGAAATACCCCAAGATGTGGCTAGGCCCTACCTTATATCAGTTAGTGTTGTGACGAAAGTGGGGGAATTTGGAAACCTTAGAATGACGTTCTAGATAGTCTCTAGGAAAATAGGCTATCAAGGATATCCAGTCATGAAGCCAATAACGTTCGAAAATATACGGCGGCTCATGGGCGGAGGGCGGAAGAAGAAAGACCGTGCAGAGTCGTCCTTCAAACGAAGTGATTCTTTCAGGAGGATCTCCATCAAAAGGAACTACTTGGATAGAGGGGGCAAGACCAAGCATCTTCAGCAGGCTACGCAGGCCAGTAAAATTGTGGTGAACCAGCCCGAATCGAATTCGACGAAGCAACCTTTGGTGGTGAATTCTACTGTCTTGGACGATGGACCCGAGTCCCTGGTGATTGGCTACAATCAGTGGATCCGCGGTATGAAGGCAGAGAACTGTCCAGCTATCGAGACTTGCAGTAACAGCAATAGCAGCAAGGCCTGCAATAGAATGATTTCGCCCCAGGACGGGAGACCGCCTACTCCACCTCCGCGGAAAAAGAACAGTGTTTGTACAGACTCTTCGTCAGTAGAAATTCTTAGGTTTGAAAGATCTCCCATATTTACCCGGAGAAGATTTAGGCCGTCGCCACCTCCGTCGTCGTTAGTGTTGGATCCTAAAGGAGAGGATTATGGAGGTAGTAGGGCAGACTCGGCGCTCAGTGTAAGTTTAGGTCGTATTTGGATGGACGCTCCCCTAGCCATGGCGCCGCGTAGCCTGGAGCTGCCACGGCTCCCCTATCCTTCATGTTCAGGTGGTGTAGATGTGAGTGGTAACGGTAGAAGAGCTCATCATTCATTAGACAGCGCTCTAAAGGAACGCCGAGAAGACCACATGCTCTGCAGTCGTCGTTTCCATAATTTTCCAGCCCGACCAATGTCTCCCACAGCCTTTATAGTACCTAATACATCCCTTATTAGTAGAACTCTCTCCTCGTCCACGCAGACCAATTCAACGAGTAAGACGCTCTCTTCCCGAGACTCCGCCGATCCCATCTGTTCCAGTAAGGATTCTGGCTTCTCATTTTCGATTTCCATACCGAAGCTGACAGACTTCAGTTCACCGACAGTAGGCGTAGGCAATGGTGGTGGAGGCTTCTTCCGCAAGAAAAAGACTGTGAAACCAAAGCCAAGTGTTAGCAGGGACGGATATTTTAAGAGGACCAGCGGTGCCGCCAAAGCGTCTGAAACTCGCAGGGGATCGGTTCGACGGAGCAGTAGCCGGAAAAAGAAACCCGGAGGACGAAGCTCGGGACGAAATCGGAAGAAGTATCACGGTGGGACAACTCGTTCCGACATGTACCAGGTCGTGGTGAGTCGTCCGCCTCGATCACTCAAGTCTTTGAAGCTGGACCCTATGATATTTGTGCCACCTGAGAAAAGGAAGTCTACGGCTAGTTTGAAGAAACCTCAACAGCACCGACGATACGAAGTGCAGGAAATTCGTGACTACTGTTCTCCCCGAGACTCGACAGTAGCGCCTGTGAATTTCTACGAGGATGAAGATGAAGACGAGGGTTTATACGAGTGTATATCCGGAGATTTCAATGAACGGGAAGAAGTGGAGCCGAAGTTGAATTTAGACGATCGTTTTACGGAAGAGGAACTGGCTATTGCCTTACCACCGGACAGTGATAATGAAACTGAGAGTGAGACTTACGTGCCTTTGGGCGTCTCGCCTGTGCCTCGGCGTCGTCCAGTACGCAGGAAGAAATCTACACGTAAAAATATAAAGTATCTGGCTAAGCCTAGCATCCACCGTGCGCCGTCCACACTGAGGCGCAGTAGGAAACTCGCGAGGAAGACAAGTTGTGAGTACATAATTGATTTGCTCTTTGTCTCATTGTGTGTGCTTTCTACTTCAACCACATTTATAATATACCCGTTAACAGAGGCGTACTAATTGTAACTTCAGCCATCCCCCCGTATCTCAATGTTTTTATCTGTTCATCTTATAATTTCCCATCGCTATCTGCATGAAATCAGATTGATTGTTATAGGACTGCAATCGTTGCACTCGATGAATTTTACACAGAAAACAATGAAAAGTGCGTCACAAATACATAAAATGGTAATAAATTGAAAATGTGTTTCTGTTTATAGTGTCAGTAATTTGCGATATCACCATGCCATTCGTCATTTGAATTGATTTATTAGACTAATGTGTATCACACTGTTTCCCAAAGAAGCAACTCAGGCCTATGAGTGAACCTCAGTACGTGTTGTCACTCAATTTTGTTCCTAAAATGAAGTTTTTTGCATTTGTTTTGGTCTAGTTTTATCGTTTTCAAAATTAATATCGCTACTTAGTCACACGAATATGTTTAAGGGGAGAATTTGCTGATATTTTATTTAAAACAGCTTACCCCGTAATGGAGGATTCAGGATAGCTTAGTCGGTATGTCGATGGGCTACCGGCTGGAATGCTGGGGTTCGGTTCCTGGGAGGCAAAAGATTTTTTTTTCTACTCCACAGCGTCCGTATCGGCTCTGGGGCTCATCCAGCCTTGTTCCGATGGGTACCGGGGTCTCTTTCCCCGGGGGTTGAAGCGGCAGATGCGTGAAGCTGATCACTCACCTTCATTTATTGCCGAGGTGAATAATGTGGAGCTATACGTCCACTCCCCAACACGTCATGACCTAGTGGTTAATTATGCACAGGAATAACTTTACCTTTTACAATTTAACGGACTGTTAAGTAATTACAGTTCAGTCAATGTGCAGTACTGATCAGAGGACTTCGATTGATTAATACCTGTTAAATGAGACGCTTCCCTTAATCAAACATGCTGCTAGAATTTAAATGGTATTTTGTTGCAATAACTCAGTGGAATAGGCCTCTTACTTCGGAAAGCCATGATGCAGTCCTCTGTAATACTCTTTTTAAGCATTCAAACGCAACACCAATCGAAATTATTTCAGGATGTCAGAACATTGTGTTCGTACGTCTGTCATGTCTTTCGTGCATTGCAATATTTAGTTTCTGTAACACTGCCAGCCAGTATTTTTTTTTCCCCTGTCGCGCTACAGCCCCAATTTGGGCCTAGTCCTACCTCCATGAAACTCTCCGTTTCACTTCGGTTTACTAGATCTTACACATTCGGTAGGACTCCTTTGGCGAGTGATCAGCTCATCGCAAGGCCTCTACCTGTACACAGACACAGAAAAACGCACACAAACATCCATGCCCTGAGTGGGATTCGAACCCACGATTCCGGCTTCCGAGCGAGCGAAGACAGTGCATGCCTTAGACCTCTCGGCTACCGTGACCGGCGCCAGCCAGTATGCGAAACGGCATTTCTTTCTGACGTCTTTCATGTGTGAAACTTAGTCTCTGACAATAGGAGAACATCATAGTTTGCCGATGCAGGATGCTGAGGGAGAATATTTGGAACTAGGAGGAAGGAAAAAATGAGTCGGAGTAGCGTAGTCGGTATAGCGACTGGCTGCGGGCTGGACGACTGAGGGGTCGAAATTCGAGTCCCGGTAGCGTCAAGAATTTTCTCGAAGTCTTCTAGACCGGCTCTGGGTTCCACCCCAACCTCCTATCCTACGGTTACCGGGGGCTTTTCCCCGGGGGTAAGGCGGCAGGAGCATGAAGCTAACCACTCACCTTTAGCTAGTGCCGAGGTCTAGAAAATTCGGATTTACACGTCCACTCCCCCATAAGCCTTCATGGCGTAGTGCTTAATGCGTTAAGCACAGGGACATATTTACCTCACGTTTAGGAGGAAGGAACAAATAAGAGGCTTAGAAAATTTGCGTGATGCGATGCTTTATAGTTTGTACATCTTACCATATATTACAAATGTGATAAAATAGGTGTGGATGAATTGGACAGGGCATGTATTGCACATGGAGGGGTGAGAAATAAATACAAAATTGTGATTGGGAAACCGGGAAGTGGGAGGGTAATATTAAAGTGAACCCTAAGGAAACGCGGGAAGGGGCTGACTGGATTCATCTGGCTCCGGATGGGAATTAGTGGCTGCCACTTGTGAAAACAATAATGAACTTTCGGGTACATAAAAGATGCTAACTCACTGAGCAGCTCTTAACTTTACAACAATAACTCTGATCCTTGAACTTGGGTATGAAACCGCCAGCAGGTAACCATATTTCACGACTATTGTTAGCTGTGTTAATTTCATTTTGGTTGTAAAATGTGGAAGATTGGTCATGAATGACATAATGCGCCACGCAAATTGCCATTAGTTCTTGCCGCCCCTCTTCTTACTATAACAGTACAAGAGTCCTTTGTTTTCATCGTGGGGAGTTTCTTCTCCTCGGTGAAAGTTACATAAATTGCAGTTTTATGTCAAGATTGTTGGAAGGCAGCTGTTTCCTCTTGACGCAATGCCCTTAAACTTTGGAATCTCTTAAAAGACTAATTATGTTCACTTGTACAGTTGACTACTGACGTTCTTTACATTACAAACGTCACACCTCACAATAGGAACAGAAACGTGGCCTTCAGCATAACTAAGGGGTCTAGAAAGAGCTGTCACTACAGTCATGAAGCCAATACATTGAATCCAAATATAATGTATATTTTGTAATTCTTAGTTTATTTAGCGAAGACTTTCCAGTTACCTTGTTTGTGCAGCGTTACTGTTAGGATCTCACGTGGAAGGAGACGGTCTAGGCCTGTTTTAGGCAACCTGCATTTGCCTAGAAGGACAGGAAAATTACGATGAAGTTTTTTTTTCTTGCTAGCGGGGTGGGACTAAGAGCCTTGTAGTGCGGCCACTTCTGGCCTATTGTACGAGCCCCAGATAATAGGCGAGGGTGATTGTGGAGCAACTGGTGGAATGAAGATTGGCAGGGGAAACCGAAGTACTCTGAGAAAACCTGTCCAAACGCCATTTTGTTCATCACAAATCCCACTTGACCAGACCCTGGGATCGAACCCGAGCCGCCACGGTGGGAAGCCAGCGACTAACTGCTTGAGCTATGGCGCGGCCTACGATGAAGTTCATACAGCATCTGGGTCAGAATTTCAATTCGGGACCTCCTGAATATGATGCAGGAGTGCTAACCGTTCGGCCGTTGCTGTCGCTACATATTTTATGATTTTCCTCGACCCCTCTTTGGAAATTTTGTTGGCAGTCGTGAGCACTTCCTGGTAACAGTACTTAACATTTCCAATACACTGAAACAACATTCATTATCTTTGTATAATAAAGCATATTAGATGAATTCTTTACAGTAATTCAGAGCTACATAACTAACTTCATTGAGCTGAGCCCTTCTTAAGAAGCCGTCAGTTGTGCAGCTACTCAAGAATTTACCAACCTTTTAACGAACCCGAAAGTTTATTACCGTATTCATAAGAGCCCTCCACTTGTCCCTATCTTGAGCCAGATCAATCCAATCCATACCACCCCAACCTAAGATCCTTTTTAATATTATCCACCCAACTACGTCATGGTGAACCTAGTGGGATCTTTCCTTATGTTCCTCCCTTACTGTCAGAGACCAAGTTTCACACCCATACAGAACCAAAAACAAAATTATAGTTTTGTATATTCCAATTTTTACGATTTTACACAGCAGAGAAGACAAAAGGTTCTGTGCTGCTGGTAGCAAGCATTACCCGAATGCAGTCTGCTCTTAATTCCTCCTGAATCAAATTTTGATTTGTTACTGTCATTTCCACATATGACCTATACCATGTTTTTAGAGGACCTGTTTCCTATCTCTGTGTCATAATTTTGCCCGCATTCTGTTGACTAGAGAGTAACATATAGTTAGTTGTCTGTGTTTATTTCAAGACCAGCCTCATTACTAACGTCAGGTAAAGTTCCTGTGTTTTCTTTATGGTATCTATATTATCTACCAGTAGACTCACATCAGCATAGACCAGCAGCTGTGTCCCATTTAATTTCAGTCCCACCTGGTTTTCCTCTACCTTCCTAATGTCATATTCTAAAGCAGAGTTGAAAAACGATGATAAAGCATTTCCTTTTTTAGAGAATTTTAGACAGGAAAAGTATAATATTAACGTACGGACTTTACTCTATGGTTCATTTAAACACATTTTAGTCAACGTAACTAGTTTCATGGGTATCCCAAACTCTGTGTGAATATTGTCCAGTACAAGGTTACAATATGTATTATAATACGTAATGTGGAAGTAATGATAATTAAGTCTATCTGCTGAAGAAGAATTGAACAAACAAAAACAAAGGTGGAGAAAAATGCACAAAGAACTACGTAACAGAGCCGTTAAATATTATTAACAATTTTAGGTAGAAGATTATAAAATATGATTGAGAGAAACCGCTCCGATTGCTGTGTAGAGATCTTTACCCATCACGTTGGCAGCATAGGCCACCGAGCAGAACAGTGTTTATTAGAGGGACAAACACACTTTTCTGACAAACCCAGGAAATCGTCAAGTTCAACTGATTTAGAATGCTTCAGCCTCTTAATGGCTTTCCAGACATCCACATCAGAAATAGGGGCACTGGATAATGATCCTGAAGAATGCGAAAGAAAGGAAATATTCATAAGGCAATGGTTATTATAAACAGATTGAACATTCTTAATGGGCTGGTCTCTGTAGGGACCATCAGCCTCAAGCTAAATAGGACTAGATGGTTTTCTGAAATTTTATAATTATTTCCAGAAATGTTGGGGCTGTGACTTTAAAATGTTATCAGTTGACTTCAACCACATAAGCCTTTCATCCTTGATTTTGTTTTTAACAAGCTTTCGGTAGAAGGCGAATACGAGTATGTCATAAAATAATCCGATCGTTTCTCTTTAAAACAACGGTGGAAATAATTTTTCTGAACAGTGTAGTACCT